GCTGTCCTCGGTGCTGAGGAGCCCGCTGGGGGGGTGGCGCGGGTGGTCCGGGCCATTCTCCCTCATCTCCAGCCTTGAGCGCCCCTTTAGGAGCCACGTCGCGGTCATAAGACCGCTACTTTGTCATCCCAGGCTGCCCTCTGCTGGGAAACAGATTCCTCCCCCAAGGGGGGCTCTGCAGGGAGCCCCTTGCCACCCGGCTTCCCCAGGACGTCCTGGGGACGGAGGCTTGGGCAGCTCTCCTTCCTCACCGCGCCTCAGGCCATTTGGGTTGCGCCGGGGACAGGGAGCTCCTGGGCTCGGCAGCTTCGGGGCCCGCGGCCACCAGGAGTCTGGACAGCCGAGGAGCTTGCAAACCTCCCCAGGCTGGCAGCTGCCCTTTGCGAGTAACGCCGTTTCCAGGCTAAGCCTTTACTTCTGGGGGTGCCAGTGGGGGGAGGCCCTCTAGGGAACAGCTTGAAAATGTTCCCTTCCCCAGACACAGAAAGTGGAGACTTAAGGGAGGGGCCTGCCACTACATCCCTTCACTGACTGGGTCCTGGGCTCAATCCTAACTCATCCAGTGGCCTCCTAGGGGTCAAAGGAAAGGGGTGTGTGTGGGTGGGGGGGACTCCATTGGCAAGAGGAAGCTTTGGTCACATTTTTTTCTCCTTCCTTTGCAAAGTCCATTTTTATAGGCTTTCTTATTTTTGTCTCCTCTGTGATTTTTTGCAATTTTTAGTCAAGTCGCTCATTACTTTCTGACCATTTCAGCCCCACTGTGGTTAACAAAGAAGTGTCATTTATGCATTTTCTCTTTATCAGTTAACAAACCTTTATCAAGCACTCCCATGTGCCAGTTATTATTGAAGCTGCATCAATACAAACTACCTAGGCACAATCTGGTCCAAGCTGGGTGCAAGGGATAAGTTTCTTTTAAAAATCATAACTTAAACTAAGATACAAACTCATCAGTGGGTTTTAAAAGAGTAAATTGCAACTTTAGTTGTTTCTCAACCTTTTCTTACAAGGTGACATAATTGGCAAGTGGCAGAACTGACCACCAGAAGTCAGTTTTCTCAAACCTAATGTCCCCAGTAGATTTGGCTGGGCATAAAAAAAAAATCACCTGGAGTACTTAAAAATGCAGGTCCCTGTGCCCCATCCTCAGATATCCCAGCTGGGTAGAGCTGGGATGGTGCCCAGGATCAACTGTGGGTGATGACACCGCTGGTCTGAAGATCACACTTAAAGAAATGCTACAAAAATCCTTGAAGATTTAACTATTTCCAAAATAAAATGGTGAAGTTGTGTGAGAATTATTTCAAAGCACAGTTTTAAGACATTGCTATCACCCCCGCTCTTTCTCACGTATCCAGTGTTCACATAAAACGCACAACCAATGAAACAGAAGTCTGTTGAGCATCCATCCAGACGTGACTCAGATGATCACAATGAGCCCCTGCAATGGGCTGGACAGCAGACTGTGGCCATTCTTTCATGTCACAAGATTAGCCAACTAACATACTTCTAAGGCAATGAGAGTAATATTTCATTCCAAGAAACATTTGAAAATGCAAAATTTTGTAACCACTCAAGATTTTCCTAATTAAAAATCTCACTTGCTATTTAATAATGTATTTTCTTGTTCATTCAATGAATATTCACTGAATATCTACCAGCCAGGCTTTCAGTTAACATCTAATGAATCTTAAGTGTTTTTAAAATGTCTCCCAAAACAAACTTTAGAATTACCGGAACATGACACTGCAAGTTGTAGGAGTCCGGTGGGGATTTCTATTCTCTCCCACAGCAGTGTTTATGGTCACAATAAAACATACGGAAATGTCTTGATATTATACCATGAACTTTAATGGTTACAATTATTTCAATAAGGTCCTGAATTAAAGAAAATCTTCATAGGGAACACAACAAAGCAGTTAGAATCATAGTTTACTGAAACAGAAAATGGCCTTTGTAGGCTAAGACTGATATTAAATCCAAAAATTCAATTCTAACCCCAGGCTTGCGTTTTACATTGAGCGATACATACTCTTTTCGGCATTCTCTATGGTAAATATGAAGCTTGAACGAAGCAGGTTACAAGTTGATTAACTTTGATGAAATGTGACATTCATTTTAACGCAATTGAGAGTATGTGATTATCACCTCTAAATCAAAGATGACCCCCAAAGATCCACCATCATGCTCCTGGGCACATATTAGTATGCTGTCACTTAAGATTATTTAGATTTATTTGTTGATCTCCCTTCTTGTTCAAAAAATGATTTAAGGCTGTCATTTCAAATTAAGGTTTGATTTTCAGACTTTTCTCAGATAAAATAAAAGAAGTAGTTGGATTTCCATCAACAGATTCTCAGTTGACAGACCCGGTTCTGTCCAGGGCTTCACTTTATTTTCTGGAGGGCACTGCAAAGGATTCCAACTTCACCTACAAAAACAAAACAAAACAGATGAGCCACTCATACTCTGAACAAACACCCTTCACGTGTCCACGGTGGGAAACGGAGGGGATGCATGGAGATGCCAGGCACCACCCCAGCCCTCACGGCGCTCACAGCTCGGCTGCGGTGATAGAATCTGGGCAGTCACGCCTTAGGTCCTTACGAGTCTTAGGAAGCGCTAGAGCTATTAATGTAATTAGCTTCCTCTTTCCATAGGCTCTTTCTCAGGAAAGGAGTGGTCAGTTTTCTCCCCCAGGGAAGTCACCAGCCATTCTGTTTCTCTTTTATGTGACCGTCCATTGGTGCTTACAAGGAGCCAAGCCATTGAACCTAAAAGTGTGCTTCGTACCAACCTCCTTTGTCAGAATCACCTGGGACCTTATTACAAGTACAAACTCCCAGCCACACCACAAACTTAAGGAATTTAGTTTGGGGCTAAATGACTATTCATTTTTAACTATCACCCCAGTGATAGCATATGCAGTCTAGACAGATAACTCAGCCTCGACCACGCACTAAGGTATGGGGGAGCCACTCCCACTCATGCCATGGTCTTACCGGGGGATGCCCTTCTCCTTAATTCAGTATCTAATACATTTTTTACTGTTCCTACTGTGAAGGTAAGAAAACACAACCCTCTATTTCTGGGAAAGAGAGTGACCTGAAAAGTTATGTTACTCACTGTTGATGGAATCTGCCAAAATCGTAAGTTGCTGGGTGCTGTCCAGGACCTCGATCCTTTGGGTGTATGGGTCATAGCGAACTGAGAAGGGCCGTGGGATCGTAGCAGCAAAGTTCCTGAAACCAAGGCCACAGGTCTGAGTGAAGGCGCCATTTGGGGAAAAGGTAATTTGGAAAGGGTTCTCCATGGCTTTTCACCTGGCTGTTAGCAGCACCGAAAACTCACTAGAACAAGGGGATTGGAAGGCAGCTGAGAAGTGAGGTGGGGTTTTTAGCAAGGTCCTCTTGGGAACCCTTTGCTGTTTGTGTGTCTATGTGAATATACAAACTCAGGTATGCACATATTTATTTGGCCACCTACCTCCAAAAGGACAGAGGCAGCTTACAATAAAAGCCCAGGTTACAATAGGCCCCAAATCTCATTAAATAAAATAAAATTAAAAGAGTAAGTAGAATCCAGCTAAAGAATGTTATAGAAAAAAATAAGCATATCCGGACAATAAGATGGAAACAAGGTGTCACAAAGGAAAACTTCCCAACAGAAGGTGGGAAGGGGCAAGGGTGGGAGGCTCTATCTGCTGCACACTGTTGCTGTGAGCACTGGAGTCCACCTCCTGGCCAACCACCCACAGATCAGTGACACCAGAACCAGTCGGGAGGTCCCAAGAGTTGCTGACCAGCCCCAGTTGCCACCTCACCTCACTTTCTCCTTGGCATCGTTAAAACTCTCAGCCACATAGTACAGGGGCTGGAACTCCGTGATCGTGTACTCCTGGATGGCTGTCTTCTCCAGGTCCAGGGGCAGGAGCATCGGCTTGTCCGACAAGCAGTACTGCAAACACCAAGCAGAAAATTTTCACAGTTAAATCAGGGCCAGTGGTCCCTGCTGCATCCGACAGGCCATCTGTGCACCTTCGCCTATCTCACCCGGATTCCTTCCACACCCCAGCCAAATGCAGTAAGCTAAATTATTTTGCATCGATGATATTCCACCCTTTGTAGCTCACCTAAAACCTAAAGTCAAGATAGAAAGGAGAAATTAACGTCAACCATTTTCAAGTGAGGGGATCAACAGGCGATGTGGGAGCCAAGCGTAGTGTCTGACGTGTTTGCACACTCCTGTATGCACAGTTCAGCCTTGGAACCAGGAGGGCCCTCTGTCCCAGGGACCTGTGAACTTACAGTTCAATGTCTAACACCCACACTCATGATCGGATCATAGCTGCTCCGGTACCAATCCCTTAAGGCTAGTCCCCTGGGTTGACTCACAAAATGGATGTAAATGAGGTTTCCATAGCACCAAGAAAAAAAGAATGTTCAGATGTTTCCACCACTTTCAAATCCATCGTTGGTTCCTGTTAGGGTCATACCTGTAATTCGCCGAAGGACGACAGGAGCCCAGCGCCATATGCCTTTATGGAGTCCCCTTGCTTGCAGAGCCCGAACTCCACAGTAAACCAGTAGATCTGGAATGGAAAGTCAAGTTGAGAGCACACGCCATGGAAGGTGAAGGCAGCAGATGCCCCAGGATCGAGGACAGGCCTGCCCAGGTGAGAGCTTATGCAGGTCTGTTCTCTCAATCAGCATGACATGGGGTCGCCTCTCTGTCCCCTGGGTCTCACCCTAACCAATCACCTGCTGAACCAAGAGTTGGCTGAATGCAAGATGTGACAGGAAGCAGTGATAGTGGAGGAGAGTACTGAGGCAGCCCCAAAAGTATGCCCCTGAAAATTCCTCCCTCTCAGACAAGAACTCCTCTCCCACTTTGCTTTCTCCCTCATGGAATCGACTAGAGTGAGATGTTCCCTTTATGTTGGTTGAACTTACCAGGCAGTCCCATCAGGCTCAGCTGTGGGAGGCAGGGGACTGGGTGGTGACAGAATCAGTGAAGGGTCATCCCCTCATCTGTGCTAAACTTGGGGTTTCTGAATTACCCCCCGTTAATCACTGCTTCCGCACACACACTTTATGCCCAAGAAATCTCAAGGGCAATTTTTACGGCCTATTGATGTTTTCAAGGCACTCTGCTTAGAATCACATGTAAACATCTGCATGCAGCTGATTTCAAAATCCAACCATAAGGAGAAATCCAAATGTAAAACTTCGCTTGTGCAAATGTAACCCAGCGCATTCTGATTTGCTCGCCAAGTGACCTGGCTTTCAGGGGACGATCGAAGCTTCGAAGACCTGAGGGCTACAGCCCATAACGCTCTCACTGCCCACCAGGGAAAGAGGGAACTTACCGTGGCGAGTTTCTCAATATACTCATCAGGTGCACCCAAAGAGGCGAGGCCAATTTCCTGCAATTGTGGAGGAACAGTCGTTGGCACAACTTGTGTCTGCCTATCTGCAACCCTTATCCTCAGTTTCAACCTTGTACTTGACCACAGGAAGGTGATGGCTGGCTAGAGGCCTTCAGAAGAACCCAGAGAGACCCTGAGTGTTCTGTCAGGTCTTCCCTAACCACACGTCATAGAGTCACAGATCTCGAGAGTGGGGGAAACCGTTCCCCAGCAGTTGGTCCTTTGCACTCATTTTACAGATGAGAAAACTGTGGCACAGAAAATGGAGATGACCTCAAGGTTACACAGTACTTTGTGTCTAAAGCGTCATCTCAATTCCAGCTCAGTGTTTCTTCTCCCACAGCAGGAGTGGGACATTCCCGCAGTGTGAGGTGAGACTGAATCCTATACCCTGAAGAAACCACAGAAGTGCTGGACATCCGTCCAGGTATATATAGTTGGAGAGTCTGAAATGTCATGGACCACCTCTCATCACAGCTCTAACTGCAAAATTTCTCTAGTGGCCTCTTTGTCTCTGGTACAGCATTTGCTTCGGCCTGCCTTGTATCACTGTGTGCATGTTTGCATGTATGCCCATACGCACGTCTTCCCTGCAGTATGCATTCATTAACTGCAAAAACACTGAGTGCAGCTGGAGGTATACAAAATTGATAAACAACCTTTATCTCATGGTGTTTACATTTAAGTGGGTAGAAACAGACAATAAATAATATTATACATGAGAATGTTAGAAGGTTGTAAGTTCTTTAGGAGGAAGGGAAAAAAAGAGAGGGTTGAGGGGGATTTAGAGTGCCAGGAGTGGGGGAGGTGTCAGGAGTAATTTTAAATAGGGTCCCAGGGTAAGCACTGTTGAGATGACACTTGAGCAAACGCTTGATGAAAGTGAGGTTGTTGGCCCTTCTGACATCTGAGGGAAGGGCACTGCATAGGCCAAGTGTACGGCCAGTGCAAAGCTCTCTAAGGAGGGGAATTTCAGTTGGTTCAAGGCGCAGAGAGGAACCAGTGTGGGTGAGGGGATACCACTTGCCAGCCCCGCCCCCAGAGTAAGAGAGTGGGGGGAGTGGCAGGTGATATCAAAGAGAAATCTGGAGCCCAATCAAGTGGGACCTTTTTAGCTATTTAGGGCTTAAGATTGTCCTCTCAGTGAAATGGGGAGCTAAAGTGGCAAGATCTGATTTATGTCATCAAGGACTCACTCTGGTGGCTCTGTGAGAACAGACTGTAGGGGGTCAAGGGTAGAGACAGGGAGACCAGCCAGGAGGCTACTGCAGTCACCAAGGTGAGAAATGCTAGCGGCTGAGACCAGGTTGGCAGCAGTGACTGCGATGGGCAATCATCAGATTCTACACATATTTTGAAGGTAAAACTCTTAGAATTTTCTAAAAAATTGGATGTAGGTATGTAAGAGAGAAAGGAGTCAATGATGTCCCAAGTGCTTTTGGTTTGAGAAACTGGAAGGATGGAGTTGATATGAACTATATAGGGAGGAATGTGGGAGGAGAAGGTTTGAACAGGAAAACCAGGAATTCGGTCCTGGACAGGATGAATAAAGATACCTATTAGACCTCCAAGGGCAGATATAGACTAGGCGGTCGGATATGTAAGTGTAGGTTTCAGGATTCAAGTCTGCGGTGGAGGTATAAATGTGTTCATCATCAGGATAGAGATGGTATTTAAAGCCATGAAATTGGGTGATATCACCAAGGAATTAATGAAGATAGAAGAACTAAGAACTGGGCCATGATGAAGCAAGAGGTTACACGGTCTTCATCTCTTTATTCCTGCCTGGGCCAAACCCAGAGCCTGGCCCAGATTACATGCTGAGAAAATGCTGTCTAGTTAGAATGAACCAAATTTAGATACTGGCTTAACCTGGCTCTACTCTCCTTCCCCTTCCCCATCTCTGTTCCAGACATGCCCAGTCCTAAGTCTACCAGAAGCCATTGATAAATCCAAGATCAGAACGGTGCCCTGTTCTAGTAGTCACCATTCTTTGTGAGTCCACAGCCTGCCTAGAACAGGGGACTCAAGATTTCCCTGTGTTCCGTCCCCACCCCATCTTTTACTCTAGAGGAAAGCAAGTCCTGCTTTAGATCAAAAAGGAATGTGCTCAGGGAAGCTTCAGAATGGTTCTCTGCCTTGGGACTGTCCTGGTCAAAGTTGAAACCACGTGACCCTCATGGCCCACAGCTCCTGTCTCTTGACTCAGGTAACTGTCCACTCCCTGTGGGGCTCCCCAAAATGGAAATGGCTGAAGGAGGATTGTTACTTAGCCTCTGATTGGGCAGAAGAGCTTCTGATGGTGAGAACAAAAAGTTCTATTCTCTGAGAAGAAAACTAATTTATCTTTGGCCATAGTAACAGATCCCAGTTTTAAAGCTTCCCAAACAATCAATGACATCCTGGCAGCAAGAACTACACTTCTGAAAGTCAGCACGTCAGCAGTAACTTCAGCCCAGTGGTAATGCTTCCCAGTTAAGGTTCAGCTCATCCTTAAACACCCCCACCTCTAAAAGTCCAACAATCTCTGAGTCCACAATTCCCAAAACCCTACATAAAAGCAACAGATTTCTTCGTTTGGAGAAGGCTGTGTCTTCCAAGAACAGTTCTCCCTTACTTAGCAAGCAATTAATTCAGCTTTTTTGTTTGTTTATTTGTTTCGGATATTAAGTGGTAGCATCTTCATTCAACAGTAGAAATATTTATTTCTTCCAGCTGCTTATAAAATTCACACACAATCCCATTACTCTGAGATTCATACTTGGTCCAGCATTTGCTCATGGGTCATCCTATTTTTTTTTTTTTTCTTTTCTTTTTATGTGGCAGGATTGCTTTTTATTGATCTACATCTGTAGAGACTGAGGCACAGGGTGCCCTGACAAGGCAGCTTTTCTCAGGTCACACAGCTGATTTGTGGCATGGTGGGGCCTATGCGAGTACCGTCATTCAACAATCTTATGATCCCACCTACCCAACCATGGCTCTAGGCTCTCTCTCAGAGCCTAGAGAGCATTAGTAGGATTCTTTCACTGATCCCAAAAACATTTTTTGAATGTGGTCACCACTGTGATAGATGAATCAAGATCTGACCTGTTGTTTTGCTGATAGTGGTAAGACGTTTGGCTTATTATTTTTTGCTAACTCTGAGTAGAGCTATTGGCATTGGATTCTTGGTAAATGTCATCTTACTTAATGAAAGCATATACCAAATGACTGCTTGACTTCTACATGGGAATCAGGGAGGTTTTCGTGGATGAAAAGGCTATTAAACCAAACCTGGAAGGACAAGTGAGATTAGCAAAGTCAACAATATAATTCAGAGGATGAGGGATTCACCAATCCCATGCTGTGATCTCTAGAATGGGAATTTATCCATCTCCATGGGACCACACACCCATCTCAGGTGGGAGTGCAGAACTGTACCTTCCAGAAGACATGAGGGTGCCTCCATGCGATCAATCTATTTGAACAATCCAGGTCTCACCCCTGTAGCTAGAAGGCTAAAGAGCTTCATTCCTCACCTGGGAAAACTGGGCAAAGCTGCGATCTGAAAACAAGGGCACGTGTCCCAACAGCTCATGGCAGATGTCACTGAAAGACAGAAAGCACAGAGCTTGGAGGTGAAGGAGGGTTACAAGGCAAGCCAGACTCAGTCTTTCTAGAGGAGTAATGGGGGGGGAGTAATTCATTCAGCCTTATGACCTCACTTCCAAGAATTAGTGGTGTGCAAACCTTAGAATCAGATGAGGCAGGGCACAAGGGAAGGAGACGAAGAGGAAAGAAAAGAAGGGGACAGGGCAGGGCACAGCAGGAGGGAGTCTTAGGTGTGCGCCCAGTGGGCTGCAGAAGAGCTATGTTCCCGTGGGCATCCTCCCACACCCCTGAGTGAGCTGTGGATCACGAACACTGCATATCCCAAGTCTTTACCTTGGCATTGACATTCCTCGGCAGATACAATGTGCTCAGTTATACCCCACGGGAAATTTAAAAAAATTTTTTTTTAATATTACCATTCCTCTCTTATTCTAGAGTGGGCAGCGGTCAGTCAGGGAAGAAAACTTACATTGATTTAACACGTTATGTGCCAGGCCCATTAGGAAGAGGTCTTATCTGATTTATAGCAATGAACTTTGTAGGCATTTGGGGTGTCTTGCTGACTTTATATAAATTGCTTAAATTGTCTAAGACAGTAGCTAAATGCAAAAGTAAGCGGCGTAGCAGCCAGCCTCTCTCTGCCTCCAGTCAAAACACAATCTAGGCAAAGAAAGCTCAGAAGCATCTAGGTGTGTATTCAGGAGGTGCTTGGATAGCCTGCCAGCTCCTTTTCCTGCTCCCATTTGGCATTTGAATGTGACCTCGCATTCCCATGGCCACGGGAGGTCCGAATCTCTGGCTCACAAGATACCCCAATCTCCAATCAGCGGTCTGTTTGAACAGCGAAGGTCCCCGTAAGAGATGAGTTTTTCTCTCAGCATCAAACAGCCCAGGCCACTTGTTCTGCGAGCCGGTCCACAAGGCACTCAGACCTCGTTCCTGGGTCAGGGAGAGGGGGCAGGCGCCGTGGCGGGCCCTGGAGGCGGCAGGCGATACTCACGGTTCGGGTGTGTACATGGGCTTGGACCCGTGTCGGATGTACTGGGTGCAGTGGAAGACTCGGAAGGCCAGGCCGCCCAGGAAGTCCCGAGAGGAGAGCAGGCCGGCCACGGGCCGGAGGCGGAAACCGGTGCAGCCTGGAAGCGAGGGGAGGGGCGCAACGCGGCTCAGCGGGCGGGCCGGGCACCGCTGGCCGGGAGGGGGGCTGATGCCGGGCAGAGCTGGCCTCAAATGCCTGCCCGGCACTTTCTAGTTGGGTGATGTGAGCCGAGCAAGTTCCCTCATCGGCAACATGTGGATGAATATTTCTTAGGGTCACTCTGAGAATCAAAAGAGCTAGTAAAGTACTTTCACAGAGCTTCGCATTTTGGAAACATCCAACAAATTTAGCTTCCATTATTGTTTGTTAAATTGCAACCGAGGGAATTTTCACTGCACTTCCCAGGAAGGGAAAGGACGTTAGGAGCCCCGGCTGCTCCATCGCACCTCGCACCATCCGCCCCGAGGAGCAGTGGCTCCTCCGACTGGAGCCATGCCATGGACTACCCGCCGTGCCAAGGAATGGGCAAGGATCCGCCTAATCTAGGACGAAGGAACAGGGATCCACGGTGGCTGCACATCTCTACCACCTTCCCTCGGCTGCTTTTATCATCATAAAGCTGCCGTTTGTTCCCATCTCTCTGGTTCCTCCATTTGTCTCAATTTGTTTCAGCCTCAGGAAGGTAAGGACGGTGAGCATGGTGATAACAGCTAATGCTGTTATCAGAGGCTGCTCTAACCACGTACAGGCCAACTACTGCTCAGGGTAACCCTACGAGGTACATGCTTCTTCTCTCCCCGTTTCACAGATGGGGAAGCTGAACCCCACAGATGTTCAAGTTCCTGTCCAAGGTCACAGCTACAGACAGCCTGGCTTCAGGGGCTGTTCTCTTAATTGCCACTTATAACTCCCCAGTGGCTAGCATTACAGTTTTATTATTATTATTACGACTATTGGCCACGGCAACATGGGTAATCAGCTAAAGAATGTCCTTAGGACCCTTTATCCTTCCACGTAGGTTTTCTGGAGCTTCAGGGTGAAGTTCATTCCGCTTGAGCACTCCTTTCCCTATTTATCTGAGAAGCAAAGACTCTCTAAATGAGAGGAGCCCAAAAGGTCCTATAGCCCCCCCCCC